TTAGTACAAAGATCTTTTGAAACAGACTAGCCACATGGGAAAGATTAAATTTGAGCACTGAGTAAACTAGTGCTAACACACAAGTCAACTCACCACCTAGCTGACTGCAAATAGTTATGGTGGAAGTGGCAGCCTTACTTTCATTATGGTTACATTTGGAAGCAAGGACACAACTAGGGGCTCCTTAGCCTATCACACGTTGCAACAATCAAGGATCTGCCTAGGACCACAACAAAAGCTTTTCCCACTGGCTTGGAGCTGCAGACATTTCCAGAAGTCAACAGCAAGAAAGGCTCACTTATTACTCCATCTTGATAGCTAACGGTAGTATATTCTTTGGCAGCACAGAAAAGCTCCTGTGAAAGATTATACTCAGTTCTAGAAAAACAGCAGTTGAATGTTAATGGATGAATAAAAACATATAGGCTCCTGCTGACATTAATGAGATAGATAATGGAAACCTCAGAAGTCCATGTCTCTGACACCTTGTGGGTTCCTCCTCTCAGGCAATCCCACCGCTTCCACCTAATATGGGGTTTTCCAACCCTTATCCCACAAAAAAGAAAAGTTTCTTCTTCTGTAGAAATACCTGTCTTGCCACCAATTGTGCGGATTGCTTTCAGAAAATCCCACCACTATGGCCAAATGAGGGGTTTCTACTCCTTAACCCACTAAATCCCCAAGAGAGTGATTTTCCTGGTCCTCATCTCTGCCATCAGTGTACAGACTTCCTCCTATCCCTCTTGTGGGACACCAACTGTGGGAACCATCTAAATGTCCTCAAGGTTCCTATGAGGATTTATGCAACATCTATCCACAATGGAGACCAATGGAGACCATCTACTATATTCTGAATAGAGGCCAAAGAAAGAAACAGAGGAAACAATATTGTAGTAATTTTCATCAGAAATAATATATGATTGTTAATCTCATGAATTTAGTTTAATTCTTCCACCTTGTCTGCTCTACTCCACTGAATTCAGGACAGAAACTAGAAAGCTTGCTAATTATCCGAATCACATAATAAATCAAACATGGATGTTCAAATCTGTCACACTAGCATATCAATCGTCAATGCGGAAATGTTCTGAAAGGTTACTTAGCTCATTAAAAACAGCATGCTTTATTTAGTCAAAGCTAATGTTCGCTTGCTGCACAAAAGTCTGTGTAAATCCTCTAATATCTCCAGGAACTGGATATAACTAGTTCAAAATCAGACTATCTCAGTCCCAAATCCCCCTTGACACTTTCACTGAAGAGAAATGATAGAATAAGCAATAAAGTGTCCAAAGCAAAATTTAAATTATTCCCACTCTTCGTTCTACCTGTGTGACAAGGTAACAGATGAAAGAAAGCAAGCATGCACTTCTTAATATTCTCAATTACATCAAGGTTGGGCAACTGTGGCCCTCCAGGTGGTTTTGGATGGCAACTCCCACAACACCTCAACACTGATTATTATGGCTAAGACTAGGGGTCTCCAAACTATGGCCCGTGAGCTGAACCCAGCCCATCGAGGCCTTTCAACCGGCCCACTGCCGGTCCTGCCACTGCGTGCAACATGGCGCACCATTTTGTGTTCCAAAATGGTACCTGGCGTTGCACATGCATGGAACGCCATTTTGGAACACAAAACTGCGGCGGAGTCATGCGCATGCACACACAACGCAGGGTGCCATTTTGTGTCCAAAATGGCACTGGAGTAGGGTGCATGCACATGACTCCGGATGCCATTTTGGAACACAAAATGGCGCCCCACATCGAGCGCATATGCACACTACTCTGGCTCCGTTTTGTGTTCCAAAATGGCACCCAGAGTCTTTTTTTCTTCCGACCTCTGAAGATCTGGGGGACAGCAAACCGGCCCCTGGCTGAAAAAGTGTGGGGACCCCTGGCTAAGACTTTGGGGAGGTATAGGCCAGAAGCATCTGAAACACCAAAACTGTCCTCCTCAACAGTAGCCACTTGTCAGACTGTGAAAAGATAGAGATCTCTTCATCTGATAAGAGATCTCTTAAAATTTGTTTCATGTTATTTACAGTGTGGCAATTTGAATATGTTGCTGAGTGAGCCTTATTTTTGTATATCCTTTTAGAAAATTAGAATGGTGAACTCTCTCCTGTCCATAATCTAACTACCCATGCTTGTTCCAACAGTACACTGAAATTACACATTCACCTGCTGCATAGCATGTGGAGATCATACAAAAGTATTAATGACAATTCTTTCATCCTAAGATTCTGGCGCTATCAGTTTTCACTGCTGCAGTACTTACTACTGTAGGTAAAAGCCACAGGATGTTTGTAAGTGTTTTGTGAGATTTAGAATGGTTAAAGACAGTATGAGGGAACTCACTTAAAGGCAGGATAAAAGCTTAATAATTCTTGATGTTGTTCTCCATCTACTTGAATTAGCAGTACAAATCATCACACTAATATTTCATCTGCAAATGGTTTAAAACAGGGGTAGGCAACCTAAGGCCCGGGGGCCAGATGCGGCCCCCCGAGGCCTTTGGACCAGCCCCAGGCCACTCCTGCCGCCGCCGCCGCCACTGCCCCCCCGCTGCTGCCGCCACCCACCATAATGATATTGATTATTGTTGTTACTACTTGTTCTTGGGGTTTTCTTGGCAAAATCTCCACAGGGGTTTTGCCATGGCTTTTCTGGGGCTAAGAGAGTGTGCATGCATATTTTTTTAATGTTTTAATGTATTTATTTATTTATTTATTTATTTATTTATTGTGCTTCGGGCCCCCAATTGTCTGAGGGACAGCAACCCGGCTCCCAGCTCAAAAAGGTTGCCTACCCCTGGTTTAAAATAAACTAGATCCCTGGATTAAAAGAATCATGCAACTGAGCATCATGTATAATTTGGCCCTCAGGATCTTGGAGAAGAAGGCATAACATCAAATGTAACAAAAATTACAGTGTCACAGACTTGCTAGATTAGAATGCTGTATACTAGATTTTCAGCCTTGATATGAACTACTGCACTATAAAAATATAGTATGTGATTATTTCTAGTTCGAGTGTACTCGCCTGGTGCTATAGTAAGTTTTTAAAGAACTGCACAAACATCCTTAGCTGTGAAAGCAAGATGAAAGGAAACTGCTGCCTCCTGATGTGGTCACAAACCACACCAAGTAATGAAGCAGGACCCACCTTGTGCTGTGAGAACCACAGTGTCATTTGAAATAAAAATTAAAGCAGGAATTCTATCAAGCCAGTTTTCAAGTATCTTAAGTCTTCTAGTGTAACAAGGTGAGTTCTATGAATACATTACCAACCTTAGCAGCTAGAATTCGGGAATTCTCAGTTTACATTTCCCTTACCCAGTACCAGAGTAACTAATTTGTGAAAAAAGTGTAGGGGAAACTGAGAATTCCTGATGTTTTCCCTATAAAGTGCTACTCAGCTTGCCAATTTATTTGTTTGTTTTATTTTTGTATAAAAATAAATTACGTTGTAACTGATGCAGTTAACAACATAAATTAAAACAAAGTGTAACTAAAACTTGATCAAATCCCTGTGCCAAATAATTGACAAAGTTATCCTACAACTTAAAAACAGAATGTGAAAATAGCAGTAAGAATAAAAGTACAGCAAATACACACACACACACACCATTAAAAGTAATTTCTGCACAACCAATTAATAATCATATGCCTGATTACATAAAAAGGCCTTCAACTGCCCACAGAAGGAGAGTGTATTGGACAGCCTCCTATGGAAGAGAATGCCACAGCCTGAGAAAAACCACTGAGAAGGCTCTGTCACACATCCTCACCAAAAGGGCCTGGGGCAATGGTTAGACCAGGGGTAGGCAACCTAAGGC